GTTTTGGTATGTTGTGCTGTTATCCTCATTTACTTCCAGAAAGTTTTTGATTTCTCTTTTGATTTCTTCTATGACCCATTGTTCATTCAGGAGCATGTTGTTCAATCTTCATGTGTTTGCGTATGCTCTAGGGATTCCTGAGTTGCTAATTTCCAACTTCATTCCTTTATGGTCTGAGAAGCTGCATGGTATGATTCTAATTCTTTTGAATTTGCTGAGACTTGCTTTATGGCCTAGTATGTGGTCAATCCTAGAGAAGGTTCCATGTACTGCTGAGAAGAATGTAAAATCTTTAGCTGTAGGATTGAAAGTTCTGTATATATCTGTTAGATCCATTTGGGCTATAGTGTCGTTTAAATCTACTGTCTCCTTGTTGATCTTCTGTCCTATTGATCTGTCTATTTCTGAGAGTGGAGTATTGAAGTCCCCCAGTACTATTGTATTGGGGTCTAAGTCTCCCTTTAAGTCTGTTAACAAATCTTTTAGATAAACCGGTGCCCTGTAGTTAGGTGCATATACATTGATAATTGTTATATCTTCCTGTTGAATTGATCCCTTAATCATTATGTAGTGTCCCTCTTTGTCTCTCTTAACGGTTTTTGTGGTAAAGTTTATTTTGCCTGATATTAAGATGGCTACGCCCACTCTTTTTTCATTTCTGTTGGCATGGTATATCTTTTTCCAGCCTTTCACTTTCAGTCTGTATGCATCTTTGTTGGAAAGATGTGTTTCTTGTAAGCAGCAAATAGATGGGTTTTGTTCCTTAACCCAATCAGCCAATCAGTGTCTTTTAACTGGACAGTTCAGGCCATTCACATTCAATGTGACTAATGAAAAGTGGTAACTTTGCCCTGCCATTTGCCAAAGATAAGTTCTAATATATGCCTTGAATTCCCTGTGATCTTTTGCTGTGAGGTTTCCTTCCTTGGTTTCCTTCCTTTACCTTCTTTCATATTGATGACCGTGTTTCTCTGTTTCTGTGTGTAACACATCTTTAAGCATCTTTTGCAGGGCTGGACGAGTGGCAACAAATTCTTTCAATTTCTGTTTGCTATGAAAGTCTTTATTTCACCTTCATTCACAAATGATAGCTTTGCAGGATATAATATTCTGGGCTGGCAGTTGTTCTCTCTTAGTACCTGGGCTATATCTCGCCATTCCCTCTTAGCTTGTAGAGTTTCTGATGAGAAGTCAGTTGTGAGTCTGATTGGAGATCCTCTGAGAGTAATCTGACGTTTCTCTCTTGCACATTTTAGGATCTTTTCTTTATGTTTCACTGTGGAGAGTTTAATTACAACGTGTCGTGGTGAGGATCTCTTTTGGTCGTGTTTATTAGGGGTTCTGTGAGCTTCCTGTACTAGGATTTCTCTGTCCTTCTCCAAACCTGGGAAATTTTCTGCTAATATCTCACTAAAAAGGCCTTCTAATCCTTTCTCCCTCTCCATGCCTTCAGGAACTCCTAGAACCCGAATGTTGTGTTTTTTAATAGTATCCTGAAGATTCCCGACAATATGTTTTAGATTTCTAATTTCCTCTTCTTTTCTTTGGTCTGACTGTATCCTTTCCTGTTCTCTGTCTTCTAAGTCCGATATTCTCTCTTCTGCTTCACCCATTCTGTTTCTAAGGCTCTCTATTGTGTTTTTCATTTGATCTATTGAATTCTTCACTTCAGTCACTATTACAGTTTCCTGTTGTACTAGTTGTTTCGTTTCATTTTGATTCCTCCTTAATATTTCATTTTCACGAGAGAGATTTTCTATCTTGTCCATTAAGGATTTCTGTAGTTCAAGAATTTGTTTTTGAGAACTTCTTAATGTTCTTATCAATTTTTTGAGATCTGCTTCTTGCATTTCTTCTATGTCATCATCTTCATAATCTTGAATTGGGGTGTCTTTTTCATTTGAGGTTGTCATGGTGACTTCCTTGTTTTTATTACCTTGGTTTTTGCGTTTGTTATTTGGCATATTGGAGATATTTGGTTTCTTCACTGTGGTGCTTTTTCTTGTTATAGTATGACTCTAGATTAAGTGGACTATCTGTTTTTGATGGAGCCTTAGGGCTTGAGATGGGTGTGGCCTGAGAGCTCTGTTTGGTGTGCCAAAGGTGACACTCCCAGGTTAGGCGTGGTAAACCTCTCTCTTTCTCTCTCTTTCTTTCTTTTTTTTTTTTTTTTTGATTCAAAAGGGAAGTAATTCTGCACAGCTGAACGAAGTTGGAGGTAGTTAGCAGGCAAATGATATACCCACAGGAGGCAGAGATCGGAAGCTCTTTCCCAAGGACCACACAGGGAATCTGTTCTGCCCTCAGAGTGGGCTCAAATTCTCCTTCAGTCTCCCACTGGGTTGCCAAAGTTACGGAATTGTAGCATCTCTGGAGAGTGCTCACGTGAATTCCGTGAGTTCTCTCCCCCACCGTCTCTTTTTTCACAGTCTCAGTTCAGTAGCACCACAAATTTACTAGGTCCTAATCTCCTGTTAATTCGCCCCGCCCAGAGCAGGTTTTTCTGCTAGGCTCAGGGCCAGTGCAGACCTGAGGTCACTCTGCTTATGATGTATGTCCAAGATGGCGCCTGCTCTTTGTCTTGCTCGCCCTTGAGAGGTGAGCGGAGAGAGAGAAACCCGTGTCTGTACCAGTCACCTTTTTTTTTTTTTCTCTCTCTCTCTCTTCCAGTTAGCCTGGTGAACTTCCACCCCCCCCCGGGGGGTCGTTCCCTCTAGTCTCCTCTCTCCACTTGCCTGCTGGTGTCTCGGGCTATTGAGGTTCGGCTCACCTCACGTTCCAGCGCTGGTGTGTTGAGTCTGCCACTGGTGTCCCGAACTGTGGGCTCCCACGCTCTCCACACAGGTCCACTGTGAATCACGCGTTCTGGAAGAGTTTCTTCTGCTGTTTCCTCCCCTACTCTTCCTTGAACCTGCAGTATCTCCACTTTTATTAAACTATCTCTCCCCGGACTATCAGTGTGCTCCCTTCCTATTCCGCCATCTTGCCTCCTCCCCCTCTTTATTTCTTATTTTAGTTTCATCTATGTCTTTGTTTAAAGTGCTAACAAAACATACTTAAGGAATAAAAGTTACACTTTACAGAACGTAATTCAATGTTGTTTCAGTCATGAATGACACATAATGCCACAGAACAGAATTTCTTTCTTCCCTACATAAGGGAAACAGAGAACTCCGGATACCATTTCGAAGACAGAAAGCAGAGGAAGAAGTTGATGTGGAGCCAGGGTCAGGCACCTCACTCTCTGAGTCAGGTGTGCTTCCTGAAGTCAATCCGGGTGGCTGGCATGGGGGAGACCAAGTGGGTTATGGGGGGACTTGGGGCAAAGTGGGTGGGCCCACCTCCCTGGGCACCACTTGGTGTTCTCCGCATTTCTCCTGCAGGAGGGAACCGCTTCTGGTTCTCCATCCTCCTCTGACTCCTGATGTTCACATCACACCCCGTGTTTTGGTTTGTTCCTTTGCATGTTTATAGAACCCGCTGGTGAAGGACCTGAATCCTTATGATTTACTTGTTGGTTTCCTGAGCAGCTCTCTGTCTCAGATGGGCCTCAGGGCTCTGGGAAGGCAGGGATTTTACCTCTTTTCTCCAGAGTAGCTGTCCTCAGCCCTCAAGTCAGAAAGTCACAGCCCCTAACAGGGCAGCTCAGAGTTCTTGCACTGCTGGTGTACCTGCAAATCCCACTTTTCACACTCAGCATCTTGGTTTTCATCACCTAACACTGCAGAGCGCGTCCCTGTAACTAAGGTGCCTGTTGTCCTCTGAAACATTGCACAGCTTCTATAAGACAGGAAATTGGCCTTCAAGGTAAGTTTCCCCAGAATCGGATGCCCAATCTTTTTTATTTTATTTTATTTTTTATTTTTGACAGAGTGGACAGTGAGAGAGAGAGACAGAGAGAAAGGTCTTCCTTTTGCCATTGGCTCACCCTCCAATGGCTGCTGTGGCCGGTGCATCATGCTGATCCGAAGCCAGGAGCCTGGTGCTTTTCCTGGTCTCCCATGTGGGTGCAGGGCCCAAGGACTTGGGCCATCCTCCACTGCACTCCCGGGCTATAGCAGAGAGCTGCGGATGCCCAATCTTGATCTGATTCAGTCAGATACTTTAGGGATCTCCCCTCTCTATGAAGCAAGGCTGCAGAATCATCACACATTTCATAACGTTCTTAATTTGATTCATTTATGCTTTTAACTTATGATTGTGGCTGGAAATCATCTATTATGCCTGAGTGATTGCTGTGGATGACAATACAGACATTTTTGTGGCTGGAATTAAAGAGCAATTACAATGCTGTCTCCTCACCAGTGCTGACATGCTGGGTGTTCTGGGCCCACCGCAGCAGGCATCATTACAACAGGATCCTTCAGATTTGAACCTGAATTTTCTGAGGTGGGGATTAGTATAATCATTTGCAGATGAAAACAGTATTCTAGCATTTTTAAGTTGTATATATAAAGTAAATTAAGTCAGTTTACTGAGAGTGGAAGAGCCAGGAATTTGTCCTTGCCAACTGTATGCCTCCTCTACCAAGGCCCTTGCTAAGGTGTCAGAGAACCATGCTGGGGCCAGGATCTCACAGCTTTGAGTCTGCTTGGAGGATACAAGGGCTTGTTTCTGGGACCATTGCCATTTCATGTGTTCCTGGTAATATCCCCAGACAATGCAGAATATTACTCTGCTACTTAGGCTACCCATGGAGAGAAAAGAGAGATGCTTGCTGTGTTCAGTATGTCACTCCAAATGTTTCCTTGAGCCAGTCCCTACACAGCTGAAGGATACTCTGGCGAGGGGGATGTGCTTATGTGCAGGTCCCCAGAGAGTGTTGTGATTACAAAATTTGGAGAGTAGTTACAAGGAGTAGCACCTTAGAAATATCCCTTCTGGTCCTAAGAATGCACTGTACAGATGCAGGTTTGTAGCTTATTGTGGCCTAGGAAGAAAAGACCCTGGAAGTCTATTAATGTGTGGCAGTCTCTGGATAAATGTAGTGGAATTCTACAGTCTGTTTATAAAATATTTCTCATCACCCCTCCCTACCACCCAGTGCAAAAACATCGGGAATGACAAACAAGAGCTTCCCAGTGGGTTTCATCCTTCTTGGATTCTCTGGATGGCCCCAGGTAGAGTTGGTTCTCTTCTGGGTTGTGATCATCCTGTATCCTGTGACCGTTCTCAGCAACTCAACCATCATCTTGCTCTCACGCATGGACCCTCGTCTCTACACCCCCATGTACTTCTTTCTTAGCAATCTTTCCTTCTTGGATCTCTGCTTGGCCACAGCCTGTGTTCCCCAGATGCTGTCAAACCTATGGGGGCCAGACAAGAGCATCACCTATGCAGGCTGTGTCATGCAGCTCTGTGTGTTCCTCTGTGTTGGTGCCACAGAAGGCATCCTTCTGGTGGTCATGGCCTTTGACCGCTACATTGCTGTGTGTCAGCCTCTGCGTTACACCACCATCATGCACTGTCCACTCTGTTGGAAGCTGCTTTTCATGGCCTGGCTGTCTGGCCTGACAGAGTCTTTAGTCCAATCTCCTATCACCTTCCAGCTGCCCTTCTGCACTCACCACCACCTGGATGACTTTCTGTGTCAGGTTCCTGCTCTCATACGCCTGGCCTGTGGTGACACTTCCATCAACGAGTGGCAGATGACTATCTCTGTTGTCATCTTCACCATGGTGCCTGTGGGGTTGATCCTGACTACTTATGGCCGTATAGCTCAAGCAGTGGGGAAAATGAAGTCAGAGGCGGGGAGGCAGAAAGTCATTGCTACCTGCTCTTCCCACCTCCTTGTGGTCTTCATGTTTTATGGGACAGTGGCAATGGTGTACACAGACCCTAAGACCAACTTCTCTTCCAAATATGGCAAGTTCTTCACCTTCTTCTACACTGTGGTCACACCCATGCTGAACCCTCTCATCTATACCCTGAGGAACAAAGAGGTGAAGGATGCTCTTCAAAGGATGCTGAGAAAGGGGATCTGCATAAGTAGATCGTGAGTAGATCCCTGAGCTTTTGGACCAGAAAGAACATTCTCACACTCTCCATACGATATCTCTCAAAAAAACTCTAAGTAAAGAATGAGTTAAGTTAAGATGAAAATTTATGGCATTATTTGCTATGATTTTGTATCATTCATTCATTCTTGAAAACGCAAAAACTATAACACCAGGTTTGGCAAATCATCACTATTTAAAGTATTTCTAGCCACAGAATGATGTTAGTTGCAAAGTTAACTTTTGATGAACATGATTTATTATTTCTTAAGTAATGCAGCCTCAGTAAGTGAATATTGAAAAATTAGAAGAGGACATAAGTTAATATTTGAATATTAAAGTGAAAAAAGCAGAGAACTGTCCTTTGTGACATCTTCTACGTAAGCTTGAAGGGAGGAATTAGTGTGTGGAGTTTCCGAGGTGGTTTTCTCATATTCAGCCTTTCTTTTTGACTAGTCTATGAGTATAAAAACTAGGGTGACACATGGGGATTCTATCTGGTTTCTTGTGCTGTCCACCATTCAGAGGGATGCAGAAGTGTCTTCCTCCAATGGAAAGAGATCTCACTTTAATTCAAATTTAATTTATTCTCAAAGTGATTATTGCTATGTTCAGTACTTGGTCAATTATGTTTTTCTATCTACATAACAGTCATTAAATATGAAATAAGTGTACAAAACCAACCTGCTTCATGTGCTTTTGTGTTGATTCCTTTGTTACAAAGTTATAGAATCACAGCTCTGCCTGAATTCAAGTGAGTTTTTGCAAATGGGATGCTGATGTTAAAACAATTTCAAACAAAAATTGAGCTAGAAGTTTCTGCTGAGGTTTACTGAAACTCATGGATATAGCTGAATAATGAGAACTTGGCATGTGGGCAAAATATAGAAAAGGGCTCAGATGACCCTATTCCCTGGAGAAGGGAAGAGAAAGCTACATTGTGTGTGTGTGTGTGTGTGTGTGTGTGTTAACCTGAAGATGAAGAAGGAAAGCCTTCTATAGAGCTGTTTTTTTAAAAAAAAATTAACAAAAATTAAACAACATTGGCCCAACTAACTAAAAAAAGGAGAGAAAAGACCCAAATCTGTAAAATCAGAGACGAAAAAGGGAATGTAACAACAGACACCACAGAAATAAAAAGAGTCATCAGAAATTACTGAAAAGAGTTGTATGGCAGCAAACAGGGAAATCTAGCAGAAATTGACAGATTCCTGGACACATACAACCTACCTAAATTGAACCATGAAGATATAGAAAACCTAAACAGACCCATAACTGAAACAGAATTTGAATCAGTAATAAAGCCCCACCTAACAAAGAAAAGCCCAGGACCAGATGGAATCACTGCTGAATTCTAGCAGACATTTAAAGAAGAACTAACTCCAATTCTTCTCAAACTATTCAGAACAATTGAAAGAGAGGGAATCCTCCCAAATTCTTTCTATGAAGCCAGCATCACCTTAATTCCTAAGCCAGAAAAAGATGCAGCACTGAAAGAGAATTACAGACCAATTTCTCTGAGGAACATAGACTCAAAAATCCTCAATAAAATTCTAGCCAACAGAATGCAAAAACACATCAGAAAGTTCATCCACCTAGACCAAGTGGGATTTATCCCTAGTATGCAGGGATGGTTCAACATTCGCAAATCAATCAATGTGACACACCATATTAACAAACTGCAGAAGAAAAATCATATGATTAGCTCAATAGATGCAGAGAAAGCATTTGATAAAATACAACACCCTTTCATGATGAAAACTCTAAGCAAATTGAGCATAGAAGGAACATTGCTCAACACAAACAAGGCAATTTATGAAAAACCCACGGCCAGTATCCTACTGAATGGAGAAAAGTTGGAAGCATTTCCACTGAGATCCAGTACCAGACATGGATGCCCACTCTCACCATTGCTATTCAATACAGTACTGGAAATTTTAGCCAGAACCATTAGGCAAGGAAAAGAAATCATAGGGACACAAATTGGGAAGGAAGAAGTCAAACTATTCCTATTTGCAGATGATATAATTCTTTAGTTAGAGGATCCAAAGAACTCTACTAAGACTATTGGACTCATAGAAGAATTTGACATAGTAGCAGGATATAATATCAATGCACAAAATCAACAGCCTTTGTATATAGACAATGCCACAGCTGAGAAAGAACGTCTAAAATCAATCCCATTCACAATAGCTACAAAAACAATCAAATACCTTGGGAAAAACTTAACTAAGGATGTCAAAGATCTCTATGATGCCCATTCTCCCAAAAGCAATTTATAGATTTAATGCAATACCAATCAAAATACCAAAGACATTCTTCTCAGATCTGGTAAAAATGATGCTGAAATTCATATGGAGGCACAGGAGACCTCGAATAGCTAAATAATCTTCTGCAACAAAAAGAATCCCGGAGGCACCACAATACCAGATTTAAAGATACACTACACGGTAGTTATAATCAAAACAGCATAGTACTGGTACAGAAACAGATGGATAGACCAATGGAACAGAATAGAAACACCAGAAATCAATCCAAACATCTATAGCCAACTTATATTTGATCAAGGAGCTAAAAACAATTCCGGGAGTAAGGACAGTCTATTCAACAAATGGTGCTGGGAAAACTGGATCTCCACATGCAGAAGCATGAAGCAAGACCCTTACCTTATACCTTACACAAAAATCCACTCAACATGGATTATAGATCTAAATCTATGACACAATACCATCAAATTATTAGAGAACATTGGAGAAACCCTGCAAGATATAGGCACAGGCAAAGACTTCTTGGAAAATACCCCAGAAGCACAGGCAGTCAAAGCCAAAATTAACATTTGGGATTACATCCATTTGAGAAGTTTCTGTACTGCAAAAGAAACAGGAAAATGAAGAGGCAACTGACAGAATGGGTAAAATATTTGCAAATTATGCAACTGATAAAGGTTTAATAACCAGAATCTACAAAGAGATCAAGAAACTCCACAACAACAAAACAAACAACCCACTTAAGAGATGGGCCAAGGACCTAAATAGTCATTTTACAAAAGAGGAACTCCAAATGTCCAACAGACACATGAAAAAATGTTCAAGATCACTAGCAATCAGGGAAATATAAATCAATCAAAACCACAATGAGTTTTCAACTCACCCCAGTTAGAATGCTTACATATAGAAATCAACTAACAACAGATGCTGGCGAGGATGTGGGGAAAAAGGGACACTAACCCACTGTTGGTGGGAATGCACACTGGTTAAGCCACTATGGAAGTCAGTCTGGAGATTCCTCAGAAACCTGAATATAACCCTACCATACAACCCAGTCATCCCACTCCTTGGAATTTACCCAAAGGAAATTAAATTGGTAAATTAAAGAGCTGTCTGCACATTAATATTTATTGCAGCTCAATTCACAATAGCTAAGACCTGGAATCAACCCGTCAGCAGAAGACTGGATAAAGAAATTTTGGGATATTTACTCTATAGAGTACTATACAGCAGTAAAAAGAAATGAAATAGGTCATTTGCAACAAAATGGAGGAATCTGGAAAACATGCTGAGTGAACTAAGCCAGTCCCAAAGGGACAAATATCATGTTTTCTCCCTCATCTGTGGCAACTATCTGAGCACCTAAAAGGAAACCTGCAGAAGGGAAATTGACACTATGAGAAACAATGACTTGATCAGTCCTTGTCCTGACTGTTGAAGACAACTTACTATTTTATTCCTTTTAGTATTTTTTTTTTGTTCTACTTAATACCATTGTTTGAACTCTTCAATTAACACATGAAGTAGCCCTTTGACAGTAGGGACTCCATTTTGGGGCACTTGAGACTCCATTCTGGGAAAGCAACCCCCCCACCGTGAGACTCTGGTCTAAAACTATGATCTCAAATAGTCGGACAACAGCAGTGCGCTACATCACCTTGACAGAGCACAAAAACCCCCTAGCATGATTGCTCAAGCTTAAAAGTAGAAAGGTTGCACCTGGGTTACCTGGGCTAATAATAAAGATGTGATTTGTCTATGTTTTAAAATCATAATTGCTGATTGTAAGATTTTAGCAACCGCTTAGCAACCGTGTATTCTCTCCCCCCTCCCGATTTTGCAGTTTTTGCCTTTATAAACCCTATACTTTAGTTCCTCGAGGCTCCTCTGTTCTTCTATGTTCAGAGAGCCCCAACATGTTGGATCAATAAATCTTTAAACCTTTGCTGGTTGCATGAGAGAAAGTCTCTTGGAGGTTCCTCGGGCGGTGGGCGTTTTCGGACCCTAACACACACAATTATTCTTAGGCATTTAATTTTTTTCTTTTTTCTTTTTTCTTTTCTTTCTTTCCTTTTTTTTTTTTTGACAGGCAGAGTGGAAAGTGAGAGAGACAGGGAGAAAGGTCTTCCTTTTCCGTTGGATCACCACCCAATGGCCGCTGCAGCCAGCGCACTGTGGCCAGTGCACCACGCTGATCCGAAGCCAGAGCCAGGTGCTTCTCCTGGTCTCCCATGCAGGTGCAGGGCCCAAGGACCTGGACCATCCTCCACTGCACTCCTGGGCCACAGCAGAGAGCTGGACTGGAAGAGAGGAAATTGGGACAGAATCCAGTGCCCCGACCAGGACTAGAACCTGGTGTGCCAGCACTGCAGGCTGGGGGTTCGCATATTGAGCCACGGCACCGGCCTATTTTTTTTTTTTGACAGGCAGAGTGGAAAGTGAGAGAGAGAGAGGGACAGAGAGAAAGGTCTTCCTTTACCGTTGGTTCACCCTCAAATGAACGCTGTGGCTGGTGTGCTGTGCTGGCACACCATGCTGATCTGAAGCCCTGAACCAGGTGCTTCTCCTGGTCTCCCATGCGGGTGCAGGGCCCAAGGACCTGGACCATCCTCCACTGCACTCCTGGGCCACAGCAGAGAGCTGGCATGGAAGAGGGGCAACCGGGGCAGATCGGGCGCCCTGACCGGGAATAGAACCCGGTGTGCCAGTGCCGCAGGCAGAGGATTAGCCTATTGA